GATCATATCTGTATCTCGACTAGTAACCTCAATGTACTATAATGCTAATTCTCTGTGACTTCCCAGCGTACTGTGACTCAAGCATGGCATGCGTCTTTGAGTGGAACACTCCGGTTGTCTCCACGGAATTGATTGTTGCTGTTGATTGATCATCCCGTCGTGTCGAATATCGACAGGTTGTACCTGCAACTGTGTACCTTCCTTGAGGTCAAACATAACCTCAAGAAAAGTTTATTATAAACTGATTTCCTACGTGTTCTCAAATTATCTGTATTTGAGAATCGAGGCATAGGACATACTTGAAATGACTGATAAGTCTTGTCTTATTAGACAGACTATCCTTGACTTAACATAGCTGGCCTGAGCATTCACATAACTGAATATTCAGGACTTGACTTTTACATGACTGAATCATTCTTTACTGAACTCTGAAAGCTATTCCGAGACAATTAAATGGTCGCCTCGGGATTTGGAACATAACATTTACGAACTTACTTGACTTGATAAGGTGCGACTTCAAGTTTCCAGGTAGAATTGGACTAATAGTCTGTATCACAGACCTCCATGTTAACCCGGCTGAACAACTATTATGCGTCGACCTTAATACATGAACATTGCCTTTAAATCTTGAACATTGACTCACGACTTTGTACTATATAGGGCTGCTCCAGTAACAACTGGTTCCGCAAGTACAAATGAATAACTGATCTTGAACTTCGTCAATTAAACTCAAAGTATCTGGCTGGTAAGATACCCGATTTAGCTGACTCTAAAGGTTGTTACTTTCTGAAACTGTACTGCTCCGGTCTCAGCTTCAAGCCTCCATGGTATATCCGGCTTAATGGCTCTTATTTCAAGCCTCCATGATAACCCAGACTTTTGGCTCTTATACACTGTAAACCGTTACTTTAATAATAACTTGAAAATTTTAACAACCTTTAGCATGAAAAATCTTGCCTTGAACTTGATTTACTGACTTGACTTAGGAAAATTGAGTCTATTCCCTGAGCTGAATCAAGGAATTCCTCCTTGGAATGTGCCAACTAATTGGCAAAACGGGCAATTTTCGATAGAAAATATCTGAGGAACATGATTGCTAAGATTTGTATAACATAAATTTTTACAAATCACTGAACGAGGCATTAACTCAACCTGAATAAATCTAGAATGAAATCTAGAATTTTCAATCTTAGTCCCTTTCTAGAGTTCTGAAATCGGACTCGAACATCCTTACTGATGACTTTATTGAAGCTGATCAATAAAGAACACAATTTCTTGACGAGTCGCTAAACATGACTGGGAAATACTGACATAAACTCTCGTGTATACTAACTACTGATCCTGAACATGATTCGAGCATCTTAACTATATCGTAACTGAGAAATTTCTGAGCATAGAAATAGTAATTTGTTTATAATTTAAAACATGAATCAGCACTTACCTGGTAGTCGGCGAGGAGTGAGCGTGAAGTGTTCGGGTTTTTCTAAAACTTTCTGTCTTACTAAAGTATTCAGATACACAAAAATGTGCTCTGATACCAACTGTAACACCCCGCCTTGAAATAAAAATCAGAGCGCGCTTTTCGCAAATTCTTTTCTTAATAAAACATATGTAACACCCCACTTTGATTTTACAGAAATTTCGAATTTTCCAAAAACCAGTATAAAATTTTCAAATCATTTTCGAAAACTTAGTGGGTGTTAACTAACATTTTCATAACCCAAGTCTTATCTGGGCCTACGGGGATTCATTACCCGGTTTTCACAAGCGGTTTTCATCAACCAACACAAACTCATGAATAATTAGTCAAACATCAATCCCAAAACTACAAGGGTTCGTAAGATTCAAAATCCTCACACCAAGTTTGAAAATAGTTTGCACAAAACATACCGTGCAACAAATTTATTCAAGTTCAACGGAAGCCATAATAATGCATAAATAAATAGAC